CAGTGCCTTTCATGCCTCACAGCTATTACGCTGTTCTCTCTGCCTAGATTGCTCTGCTCTTTCTGACCAGCAGCCTGGAATAGAGGAAAGGGTGGGCTTTCATGTGATGCCTGAGTTCAAATTTCAGCTCTCTTATTTACTAATTCAACGAACTTGGGCAAGTTTCTTAACCTTTATGAACCTCAGTTGTTCATCAGTAAAATGCAGGTGATAATACTTGTTTGCAAAGATGTTCTGATATAATATGATGTAACATGTAAGAAGCGTCTGCACATAGTAGGTCCTCAATAAAGGGCAGCTTTTCCACTCATCTGTCAATGCTCAGCTCCAAAGACTTGCTCTGTGAAGCCGTCCCAGCTTCCTCCATCCCTAGGGTGATATTCCCTCTTAGGAATAGCATTTTTCTTTATCATGGTTAAAAAAGACATAACATAAAATTTACCATATTAACCATTTTTAAGTATACAGCTCAGTGGTGTTAAGTATATTCACATTGTTGTGAAACAGATCTCCAGAACTTTGTCATTTTGCAAATCTGAAACTCTGAACCCATTCCATAACGACTTCCCCTTCCCCCACTCCTGGCATAGCATTTCTATCTATACCTCACTCGGAAGTGCCTTACCTATCACGGCCTGCCTTGCAGTATGTTGAGTTACATATTTATATGTCTCCTCCACTAGATTTGGGGCTCAAGACTAGGACCTTGTTTCACGCTTCCCTATATTCCCACAGTATCTAGCACATTGCCTGGCAATAGTAGCTACTCAATAAGCATTCCTGGATTCGAATGTGACATTTACCATTTATTGCCTTATTTTTACTTAACTTTATGGCGGGGTGTGTATGTGGGCCTGTGTAGTATACTTCATAAACCCTATGAGGGCAGAAATTTTGTCCAAAAGCATGCAAGGCAACAGTGGAAAGAACTCAGGCATGGGCTTTAGGTGGACCTGACTTTAAATCCTATGACCTTGCGTAGATGGAACTCAACCTCTCTGAGCATTGGTTGTCTAATTCCACAATGGCGACGTTAATACGGACTCCAGAAAGTTGTTACTGGTGTTCAATGTGATAATGTATGTAAAGCTTCTGGTATATACATGCATCCTATGAATGTGAGCTCCTTTCCTTCTAGGCTGTATTTCTCCTTCTATCATACAGTGCCTGGAACCCAGTAGGTATTTACAATAGGTTGGCAGAAGCAGTGGTGTGAAGGTTGGTTTTTAAAGATCAGGAGCAAGGAGAGAGGGATGAGTGAGATAACTGAGCCCTCCCTCCCCATCCTATTAACCCTCGCCAGGTGTATAATGAGTTCATTCTGCCCTCGGAGCGAGACGGATTCCTGAGCCGAATTCGGGAGATTATCCAGCGAGTAGAGACCCTGTTGAAGAGAGATACTGGCCCCGAGGAGGCTGCTGAAGACACCCTAGGCCCCCAGGTCAGACCCCTCTGGATATCTCCGGGGGAACAGACTCTTTGCTCCGCGGCTCATTACTCCTTGCCCTCAGCAGTCCCCTGGGATCTAACTTCTCTTCATCTCTGGGACCCTAAAACAGGAGCTCTTACCCCATTTGAGAATATGATGAAAGCCATGGACCCTTGTCTTAGGTACATGTGTCCAGTGCACACTTTTAACTTACTACTTTGAAATAATTTCAGAGCCGTGGAGAGAAGTTACAAGAATTGTACGCAGAATGCCTAGATACCCATGGTCTAGATTTGCCGATTGTTAGTGTTATGCCACATTAGCTTTACCATTCTTTCTCCCCTTTCTTTATGTATGTATACGTATTATTTTTTTTCTGAGCCTCTTGACAGGAAGTTGCAGACATCATGCCCTTTTACCTCTAAATATTTCAGCACATACGCTTTTGAATCCCTTGAAACTCATGTATGGGCTCCTAGACATTCATGGGTTCTAGCTTAAGAAGCCCCGTCTGAAACCTTCATCTAAGCCTCGGCTCTTCCCCACCCTGACTGTGGGCCCCTTCTTCCTCAGGAGGAGCCAGTGCCATTGCCTGCCCTCCCGGGCCCCCTCCCAGGCCCATCCAGTGGTACGTAGAGTTCTGTCCTTGCTCATCCCAACCCTTGGGGTTGCCCCTGGGAAGGGCACAGGGCATGGGAGACTGGCACCTCAACACACCCTCCTCCCCAGCAGAGTTCCAGAGCAGCACCTCCCTGGAGCAGAGGAGCTGGGCAGCCTTCTCCACCTCCCCATGTTCCCCTGGAACTCCCTTGTCTCCCGAAAACCCATGTTCCCCTGGAACTCCCATTTCTCCAACTCCCATCTTCCCCATCATGTCTACCCCGTGTCATCCCAGCCCCTCCCCATTCTCCCCCATTTCTTGCCAGATCTCCTCAAGTCCCTCTCCACAACCCCCGAGCTCTCTACTTCCGTTCTCCTCCAGGGCACCCGAGTTCCTAATCCCATCTTCTCAGTTTCCCCAGAGTTCTCTCCCACCCAGTTCTCCACCTCCATTCTCTCCCGGTTGTTCCCAGGTCACTCTTAATCCTCCTTCCATTCCTCCATGTCCCTCTGCTGCTCCCTCCCCATCCCCCACAGAAGCCCCTCTCCTCTCGCTGGCTAGTGCCTTCTCACTGGCTGTGATGACCGTGGCCCAGTCCCTGCTGTCCCCCGCCCCTGGGCTCCTTTCCCAATCTCCTCCAGCCCCTCTTAGTCCCATACCTAGCCTGCCCCCTCCCCTGCCCCTCGCTCCTTATGGCCAGGAGAGCCCTTCAGCCCACACAGCTGAGATGGAGAGTGAGGTGAGTAGGAAACCAAGAGGGATGATTAGGGAGGCTCCATTCTGGATCTCTCCCTTCCTCATGGACCCACACTTTGTAGGCCTCCCCAAATCCTGCTCAGCCACTCCTGAGCGAAGCCAGATTGGCGCCCATCTCAGAAGGTGAGATCTCCGATCACTGACCTTCCCCTGCCCATTATTCCCAACCCACTTTATATCCTGCCGCTGATTTCTCTCTCTCCACGTCTCCCTGCAGAGGGAAAGCCCCAGCTTGTTGGGCGTTTCCAAGTGACTTCATCCAAGGAGCCGGCTGAGCCTCTTCCCCTACAACCAACATCCCCAACTGGCTCCAGTTCTCTGAAGCCTCCAACCCCTCAGCCAACGTCGGAGAGTTCAGACACAGAGGATAGTGCGGGAGGCGGGCCAGAGACCAGGGAAGCGCTGACTGAGAGTGACCGTGCAGCCGAAGGTCTGGGGGCTGGACTCGAGGAGGAAGGAGAGGATGGGAAGGAACCCCGAGTTGGGGACAGCCCCCCACCCCTGAGCCATCCCAGCCCGGTGTGGATGAACTACTCCTACAGCAGCCTTTGTCTGAGCAGCGAGGAGTCAGAGAGCAGTGGAGAGGATGAGGAGTTCTGGGCTGAGCTTCACAGTCTTCGGCAGAAGTGAGTCTGGGGAGGATGGAGGAACAAGAGGTGAACTTGGGAAAGCGAAGTGTGTGGCTACTCCTTTCATGCTCTTGATGTGTCCTCAGGCACTTGTCAGAGGTGGAGGCACTACAGACACTACAGAAAAAGGAAATTGAAGACTTGTACAGCCGGCTGGGGAAGCAGCCCCCACCGGGTATTGTGGCCCCAGCTGCTATGCTGTCCAGCCGCCAGCGCCGCCTCTCCAAGGGCAGCTTCCCCACCTCCCGCCGCAACAGCCTGCAGCGCTCTGAGCCCCCCGGCCCTGGTGAGACTGGTCACCCAGCTTCCATCTTTTCTGTGAGACCTCTTCCTTACCAACTTGGTTTTCTTCCACGCCCTGGGGGGTCTGCCCCTTGGTTTGGCGGGGCTAGCCCCCCAGCCCCTGCTGCCCCTTCCCTCACTCAGTGCTCTCCCTTCCTCGTCCTGCTCCCAGGCATCATGCGAAGGAACTCCCTGAGTGGCAGCAGCACCGGCTCCCAGGAGCAGCGGGCAAGCAAGGGGGTGACATTCGCCGGGGATGTTGGCAGGATGGTGAGGGCGGGCCCAAGGGAGGGAGAGCCCAGGGAATGGTAACTTGCTGCAGCTTCGCCTTCCTCCCACCTTGGACGTTTCCTCAGCACTTTTTCTTTTCCCTCCAGTGAAGTCAGAATAGAAGCTATGTGTCTCCTCCACACCAGGGCGCACCATGGAGCTTGTGCTGTCAGGATCTGATGCTTTTCTGACCAACACAACTCAGCAAGGAAGACCCCAGCACTGAAGGAGCAGAAGGGACATGGAGAGTGCAGCTCCATTACAGTGGAAAGCCAACATGTGGGAACCGTTTGCTGTGTGGAGGTGTCAGTTCTGCAGCCTACCATCTTCATCTTCACCCGCTCCCCAGCCATGGGTCAACCACTAAGCAATCCCACCCAAGCCCAGATGCTTCTAGAGGACCCACTCCCAGCTGGGAGAGTATAGGGGGTGTGCTCACACCAGAATTAGCAGCAGCCAATAAAATTGCTGGAAACAAGGACTCTGTGAATCTGTATTTGTCACGCCTTAGGAACTGCGGGCAAAGCCTTGTGGGGTGAGGCACGGGAGGATTTAAAAGGGACTCTCCATTCACAGTGGGAGGCAGGCGTGGAAGCTGCCCAGCCCTCTGGCTTCCTGGCACCAGTTCATGAGGAAACTGCAAGGTCAATGATCCACTTGACCAAGCTAAGAACCCCTCCAGACCCCACCCTAGGCTTGCACAGGCAGGCACCAGTGAAAGTTAAAAGAATGAAGGCTGCTTGTCTTCCATCCATCATCCACTTCTCTCTCTAGGGATGAGAAAAGGCAGTAGAGTTAGTGTTCTTGAGGGTACAGAACAGAAGAGGAGTGACCTTTCTTCCCCTAAGATGTAGTGCAGTCCCAAACAGCCCAGTGATCTTTCCCTTAAATCGGGTGGAAAGATCTCATGGAAAAAGTAATTCTAGTTAAACATTTACAGCTCCCTGGGGCAATACCACCACCACAGCTACTGTCTGTGGAGCTTTCCAGTATGAAGTGCCATGCAGTCTCAGCTCCCACACACTGACTTGGCTCCAGGAGAGATGACTCAGTTTATTACTCTCAACTTGACATTATCTTTCCCACTTTAGGCTCCAGCACTGCACAGAGCTGTAACACCTATCCCCATAACAGTTGTGCCCCTGGGAAGTGAAGAGGGTAAACCACAAAGTCAGAAACTTTGGGAAAAACCAAGGTCGTACACCCATCAAACAAGGAAACAAACTACAAGAAGGGCTCGGTCACTGCAGAAAGTGAGTGTGAGGTGGGCAGTGTTCCCTTGACAGTGGCTAAATGCATAAGTCCTTGGCTTCTCTGGCTCAATCATGGTCCAAGGTTAGTGAGAAGGCCAGCGATGCTGTTAGCAGGCTTCAATTTCTATAGGGTCGTGGGGCATCATCCACCATGTGAAGGAGCTCCAGCGGGTTGGAGATGTGCAATGCCCATCCAGATTAGGGTCCTGATGCCCTTGCCAGAGCTCGGGCTCGGGCAGCTTTGGCCTCGTCTTCCAGCTCATCCAGGAAACGCTCCTGGGACACCGAGTAGAAGGTGTAACCATCTGGGGAGGTGGGTTCAGGAAATGGAATATGCACATTCCCTTTTCTTAGACGTGCTCTACCACCCTTGATACCCTCCCATTCTCCCAAATCAACAATCCCGGCCTCCAGCCCACTGCTCTTTCTGAGGCCTGACCCACAACTATTGTTGTTATCAACAAATCATATTAAGAGTATCTTAGAATAACAAGGTAAGGTATTAACCCCATTGTACCCAAACATTAAATGGCTGCCTCAGCCCTCCTAAAGTCTTCTGTTCCCCTTCCCCTACCCCCACATGCGGTCTCCATGAGTCTGGAGCCCGGACGGATACAAATAGCTAAGACCAGGGCCCCGATGCCTAGGCCGGTCACGATGTTCCGGGTTCGCCGCTGTGGCAGCGTCTTCTGCCACTGGGCAAGCTGCACCTGCCGCATGAATTGCAGTTGCGCGGGAGTCAGTTTCTCGCGACTCGGGTCGATGCGCTGAGCGACCGGGGCCTTTCCACTCTTAGCATCATCAACAGGACCACCAGCTCCTGACGCCGCCATGTTGCCGCTCCACCCTTCGCAGTTCTGAGGCGCGGGGCTCCCTGGGAACAGTAGTCCTTGGCTCCTGCGGGGACGCTGGGAGTTGTAGTCCGCGTGCCCATTTCCGGGCAGAGCCGCGACTCTTGGCCAGAGGGGAAGGGCGGGGGAGGCGGGAAGCAGCCGGGCTTTCTGATTGGCTGATGGGTTCGCGGCCGTTGGGGTGTGGAAAAGCGGTGAAGGGCGCGAGGCGGTGGTGGGAATTGGGTTTTCCTCAGACTTGAGGCGAGGACAAGCACATTGGAAGCGGACGAGGAATCCAGGGTGTGGCGGAAGACTGGGGAGAATCTAGGGAGGCCGGTTTATACATTCGGTGAACCGTCCAGGTGTCCCAAGAGGCTGGTAAATATGGACGGACCTGTGAGGCCAAGGTTGGCCTCCCTCAGTGACTTTCAGTTTGGAGTTGTTGCCACAGAGACGATCGAAGACGCTCTGCTTCACTTGGCCCAGCAGAATGAGCAAGCAGTGCAGGAGGCTGCCGGTCGGAGGGGCGGCTTCAGGGAGACCCGGATCGTGGGTGTGGCTGCAGGGCTGGGGAGCTGGGGCTATGGGGGGCTGGGGCATCTGGCTTTGAGGCACCGACCTTGAGATTCAATCTATTTTCTTCATCCAAAGAATTTTTGTTAACACCTACTGTATGCCAGGTGCCAGGGATATCGTGATAAACAACACACACCAGTGCTCTACCCTTGATTTCTTCTACATGTGTAATTATTAGTGACATTGCCTGGGCAGAAGGATGAAATAGAGATATAGTCCTTGCTTTCAAGCCATATGCAATCTTTGAGGGGTATTAGGCCAAATATGCAAATGACTAAGTACAAGTATGGTTAAGTAAGTTGCATAAGCGGGAGATAAAACAAGCTTTTAATAGAGATGGAAAGGAGCGACGGATGATAGGAAGAATGCAGGGAGTGGTCGAGGCATCATGGCGTTTCAGGTAGACCTTGAAGGAAGGATGCCAGTTTGGCTGGTGAGGAGGGATGGCATGAGTAAAGCTATGGAAATGGGTACAGTGCAGTCCACCTTGGCCAGAGCAGGGGAAGAGTGGTTGAAATTAAACCAGAAAGGTAGTTTGGAGACATTCCACGTGGAAGATTGAATGTCAAGGGGAGGAGTTTATACTTGCTTTAGTAGGACAACAAAAAGACATTGAAGGTTTTTAAATAAGGGAGTGCTAAGACTATAACCTCTGCTTTAGTAAACATTATTTTGGCAGTGATACAAAGGAAGGATTCCCCTAGAGAGAGATGGGAGATAGGGAGGCTGGTGGTCTGTGCCAATGGTCTAGGTGATAGGGAAGAGGCAATGACAAGGGAGGATGGCTTAAAAACATTTCAGAGGCAAAATCTGGGGCCTGCTGTGGATGAATTTAAGAAGTGAAGAAGGTAAAGATGACTATGCCAAAGGGTTGAGCCTAAGAGACTAAGAGTATGGTGGTGCCGTTGAAAGAAACACACACATTACAAAATGTGACTTTTGTTTAGGACAGATAATAGCTTTGGTTTTGGATCTACTGAGTTTCATGCTTTCAGAACGTCTAGAGGAAGGGTTATAGCAAGTTGTTTAAAAAGTAGGTCAGAAGAGAGGTCAGAACTAGAGATAAATGTTTGCAAGTTGTCTTCATAATGATATCATTGAAACTGTGGCAGAGAATGAGCTTCTAGAAGGAAAAAAGAGAAGCAGGCCAAGGACAGTTCCCTGGGAAACATTTTGTTTTCAGGGAATTGGAGTAGGAAGAAGAGTTGTGAAGAAAATAAAAGGAGTGGTTGGGGAGATAGGAACAGAACCAAGGGGCTTTTGGAAGCCAAGAGCGTTTTAAGAGGATGATGGTCAGCAGTTTCATGCGCTTCAGGGATATCAACAGGAATGAAGATTGCAAAAAGGCCATGATATTTAACAATTTGGACATATTTGCTAACCTTCAAGATAATCATTTCGGCAAGTTGGTAAAGGTAGAAGCCAAATTGAGAAAATTAGGGAGTGAATGATGAAGTGGAAGGAGCAGGTATGTAAGCCAGGCTTTGAGGAAATTCAACAATGATGGCAAGGAGAGAGATAGAGCCCTAGCTTAAGATGGCAGAATGGGAGAATCTTTTAGTTAATAGTAAATCTGAGTATGTTTGTAAGCGGAGGAAGTGAGGCCAGTAGTGAGGGAAAGGCATAACCCTCATCCTTTCCACCTAATCCAAGCTCAGTTTTCTTGGCAAATTAGAATGGAAAACAGGGCTGGGTGTGGTGGCTTATGCCTGTAATCCCAGCACTTTGGGAGGCCAAAGCGGGAGGATCAATTGAAACAAGGAATTCAAGACCAGCCTGGGCAACACAGGGAGACCTCATCTTTACAAAAAATGTTTTAAAAAAATTAGCCAGTGTGGTGGCCCACACCTGTAGTCCTAGCTACCTGGGACACTGAGGTGGGAGGATCACTTGAGCCCAGGACTTGAAGGTTGCAGTGAGCTATGAAATGCACCACTGCACTCCAGCCTGGTCAATAACACAGTGAGACAGTCTCTTAAAAAGAAAAAAAAGGAAAATAGAAACAAAATAGAAACAAATTCAAACTAAAACCAAACCAAACCAAACCAAACCAACTGCACACACACACAAAGAGCAAAACTAAGACATAAAGCCAAAAGGACTGGGTAATAACATACAATTATGTATTCTAGGGTTCTGTAACGATAAGGTTTTTTGTTTGTTTGTTTGTTTTTTTGAGACAAAGTCTCACTCTGTTGCCCGGGCTAGAGTGCCGTGGCGTCATCCTAGCTCACAGCAACCTCAAACTCCTGGGCTCAAGCGATCCTCCTGCCTCAGCCTCCCGAGTAGCTGGGACTACAGGCATGCGCCACCATACCCAGCTTTTTTCCATATATTTTTAGTTGTCCAATTAATTTCTTTGTATTTTTAGTAGAGACGGGGGTCTCGCTCTTGCTCAGGCTGGTTTCGAACTCCTGAGCTCAAATGATCCGCCCGCCTCGGCCTCCCAGAGAGCTAGGATTACAAGCGTGAGCCACCACGCCCGGCCAACGATAAGGTTTTATACATATATCTACGTGTAATGTGTGTCAAGGAGATCGTTAAACTTTGTTGTGCTAGCTTAACTTTTTATAGTTTTTTCCTAAGAAAGAAAAATTTCTCTGAAGACATATGATAATTTGACTATATGTATAATTCTTTGCTGATCAATGCCAAAAATTCCTGGGTCTGCAGGAGGCTTCTTTGTTGGGAACTGACATTTGCCCTTGTTTCCACCCTCTAATGATATTTCAAGCTAAATAGAATTCTATCTGGGGCTGTTCTTTCAAAGAGAAACAGAGGTGGGTTAAAATCTTGCCAAGGAATCTCACCCTTCCCACCTTCCTAATGATTCCCTCCCCCCAAATTGGGATATGTTCCTTGATTTAGGGGATGTTTCTTCAAAACAAGCCACTCCACAGTAACAAACTTGCTCCCGGGGAGAGGCTCAGCCACCAGATTTACCCAACAAACTGGTGGAGAGACGGTGTCCAGCTGTAAGGTGAATCGTGTTTGTAAAGCAATAGGAGTTCTCCAGAGGGTGGTTACTAAACAAACAATGTCATAAAGAATATTGAAGCTCCAGAAGGGACCTTTCTGTTCCTGCCAACATTCCACTGAAAACAGAAGATAGGGGTTAAGGTTTTTATCCATCCAATAATCTTCCTTGAAGCTGGGGGCTCCCAGCATGGTGTAGAGGCCAACTGGACCAGCTGGTATGTTTGTAACTGGCAAGTCTTTTATCAGCTGAGACCCACATGAAAGCTCAGGGGTTACTGAGGGGGCTTGGTAAGCTCTTGTCTTTGGCACTCAATCAACCTCTTTTTCATGCCTCTGATCTGCCTACTGGCAGCAAAGGAAACCAAGCTCAGCTTTGGTTGTTTCAGTCTCATCTTTCTCACCTCCTGACCCTCCTCCCTGGGCCCCATCATGGCTTTTACACAATGCCAAGAGTTCACAGAGTGGTTTTGGTTGCATCTTGTGAATTAGGCTCTTTTTTCCTGTTTTGGCAGAGTTTGTTTTTCTCCTGTCTGAACAATGGTGTCTGGAGAAATCTGTGAGCTACCTTGCTGTAGAAATCCTAGAAAGGTAAAGCCCTGAGTATAAGGCCTTTGTGAGTGGTGCTTCTCAGAATGGCTAATGTCCCTAAATCTTTAAGAAAAGTACTGCTTAGTTGCCCCTTACCCTGAGGCCTGATTTTACACCCTCTCTCTTTAACTTACAAATGTAAATTTCTTAGCCAGCAATTGATATTCCAGAGGATAAAATGTACGATATTTGAAGCACAAACTCCCTTTAGTTGGTATGAGTGTGGATTGCTTACTCTCTCCTTCCCTTCCTTGTATAGGTTTATGGTTAAACAGGTAGAGAACATCTGCAGGCAAGCCACAGTCCAGTGGAGAGAGAACAAGAAGACAGAGTCTCATAACTGGAGGGCTCTGAAAGAGAAGCTTTTCAACAAGTTTATCCTCCGTCTTGTGTCATGTGTTCAGCTGGCCAGCAAAATTTCCTTCCACTACAAAGTAAGGAACTGAGGTTGCTCACAGGCACCTGAGTGTTAGAAAGAAAGCACCTCATCCAAAGGTAGCTGTGAGAAACCTGCTCTTAGGCTAGGTGATAATACTCATGTGGAAATTCCAGAGTGTAATTATGCTTCCTAAGCATACCTCCTACACACACACACACACACACACACACACACACACACACACAGTCACACAGAGGCAGTTATTAAATAGCCTGAAGTTCTGTTCTGTTCCCAAAGTGTAATTGCTGGACAGAATCCATCATTCATACAGGTCACCTTTCCTCCCCTTGGAATCAAGGACAGTTTACATAAGGTGCCTGAATTGCCAACATACCTATCGGCATTAAAGGCGAACTATTACATTTATACAGGATAAAATGTTTCCACATCACTACCCAATGCCTATACAGTACAATATCATTCATCCAACAAATATTTACTGAGT